ATGCCGGTGAAGAGCCCGGATGCTGTGAGATGGGGGCAGTGGGCAGAGGTCCGGCACTGGACAGGCATCCAGGAATCCAGACAGGGATGTGATGACAAATGCAGGAAGGAGACCCCAAAATTTACTTATTTTAAAAATAAAATTCATTCTCTTTTATAATTATTATGTGAGTCCATTGGATAATTTTCTAAATCTAAGATACATTATATGGGGTATCAGTGATCATACTGCATTATCTTTCAAGAAGGTATGTCAGAAGACTAGAGACACCATCTTTGTGGTCTACTTTTGGCTTTTCAGGGAACATAATTGGAAAGTCAGAAGTTTGTGGGGTTTTTTAAAGAGTAGTTTATTGGTTTTTACATAGGAAGAGAGAGAGAGAAACATCAACGTAAGAGCGAAACATCAGTGATGAGAAAGAATCATCGCTCGGCTGTGTCCTGCACACCCCCTACCGGGGATGGAGCCCACAACCCAGGCACGTGCCCTGACCAGAATCAAACCTGCTACCTTTCAGTGCATGGAACAAGGCTCCAACTAACTGACCCACCAGTGCTTTTTCTTTTTTGAATCCTTACCTGAGGATATGTTCTTGTTGATTTGAGAGAGCAAGAGGAAGAGAGAGAATGAGAGAAAAAACATCGATGTGACAGAGAAACATCAATCAGTTGCCTCCCTGAAGCGCCCCAAGCAGGTATTGAACCCACAACCTGGGTATGTGCCCTCACCTGGAATCAAACCCGAGCCTTTTGCTGTAAACGGGATGACACTCCAACCAACTGAGCTATACCAGCCAGGGCAAAGAGTCAGAAGTTTTCATTTTCTATCCATAATGTCAAAGAGAAGAAAAATAATAGAGGAAAGCATTTAAAAAACATTAGGTGAGCCGTGGCCGGTTTGGCTCAGTGGATAGAGCGTCGTCCTGCGGACTGAAGGGTCCTGGGTTCGATTCCAGTCAGGGGCATGTACCTTGGTTGCGGGCACATCCCCAGTGGGAAGTGTGCAGGAGGCGGCTGATCCATATTTCTCTCTCATCGATGTTTTTGACTCTCTATCTCTCTCCCTTCCTCTCTGTGAAAAATCAATAAAATATATTTTAAAAAAAACACAAAACATTAGGTGAGTCTGAAGATGAATGCAGAGAGACAGGTAGCGCTATAGACTCTGATGATGACAGTGGAATCGATTCTGTAAGAACACGTTTCTGAGGACAGGAAGCATGGCGTTAGCATTCAGCAGGAAGGACTTCCTTACTCATTGTTTTGCAATAAGAACCTGGACCGTTGTTTTGTTAAATGGACATGTAACAGTATTCTTATGTGATGCTTATCTACCACAGTTTATCTGATGTGGTTTGTAAGTGGACCAATGCTGAAGGCAGATGTGTATATGAAAGTTATTGGAAGGAAAGAGATGATATAGAAATGAAATTCATTGGATTGGCCATTCTAATTGGTGATTGTAAATCTAACAATGAAAATATCCTACAGTTATGGAGCAAAAAAGTCCTTCCACTCTAACAAAATTATGAGCTGTCAAACGTTTCAAATATTCTTCAAGTATCGCATTCTGACAACACAAGGACAATAGTGAGAACCTATTGGCAGAAGAGAATATAGGTGCCACTTGGAACCGCTGTTAGCCCAGAATGTTGTCTCTCTTGAAAATAATGTCTCACAACTTAGGGGTTGAAATCAGATTGCAGTATATCGAGGACGACTCTTTGTAGTAGTTTTATTTTAAGAAAACTTAGAAATAAAGAAGGAGTTACACTGGAAGCCTACATAATTTTATTAACCAATATCATCCCATAAATATAATTTTTTAGAGAAAAAGACTCATAGAACCTCCCTTTAAATTACCAGTTAGCTTGCAGCAAACTAATATACTTGATAAACCGTAATCAGCTCGAATGGCACTCTCTCTGCGATGCCTTCCTGTGTGTGCCCATCCCACCTCGTCCTTTGGAAGTGCCCGCACCACTGTGCTCACGTGTTGAAAGAACACAGCCTCACAGTTTGACTAAGTTTGGGGGCATTAGGTCAGCATCTCTCAATGTCACAAACATATTTATATGGTTATATGTATAAAACTTGTGCTTATATGACATCACAAGGCCCTATCTCAAAAGAGAAAATGTTTCTCCCATTTAAGAAAAAATGCAAACAAAACTTTTTTTCTCTCCCATAATACAAAACTAACCAAAAACCCCACATAAATTGTCATTTGGTTTTGTGCCTCTTAATAAGTTCTTTATAGAAGAAAATGCTAAATGCTTACTACTCATTGTTAAGCAGCCTCTTAAAGATGCATTGTCATCGATGGAATTTAAATTGTTCAGGAAGTTTGGGTGGTCTGAGAGCTTTTAGACTAGAGGACATGGCAGGGATTGTGACTGACACCATCCTGGTTTCCCAGATATGTTCCATTTTGGTATATTCTATTCCACTCATACACTCAGTTATAAATGTAAGACCATGTCCAGAGATTTTTTTGGTTTAGCCAATGTTTTGATCATTTATTATGCAGAGTGTATACATGCCTGTGTAAGAGGTGGTAAGAGGCTATTTGTCACAAAATGCCTTTTCTTTGTAGTCGTACTCCCTTTTCCCTCTAAATTCTGAGGTTTAGTGGCATCTGAAACAGGCCTGTAAGGGATGCATGTTTGTTGTTATGATGGCATGACACCTTAGGTGTATCAAACTAGCTATGCATTTTCTGTCCAGAGCAAGGCTTTATTGATTTTTAGAGAGAGGAAGGAAGAGGAATAGAGAGACAGAAACATCAGTCAGCTGTCTCCTGCATGCCCCCTACTGGGGATTGAGCCCACAACCCAGGCATATTCCCTGACTGGGAATCAAACCCATCACCTCTTGGTTCATGGATCAACACTCAACCACTGAGCCACACCAGCTGGGCTTGGATGAGTTCTTTTATATATATATACATATATATATCTATATCTATATATATATATTAGAGACCAGAGCATCACATAAGAATATTGTTACATGTCCGTTTAACTAAACAACGGTCCAGGTTCTTGTTGCAAAACAATGAGTAAGGAAGTCCTTCCTGCTGAATGCTAACACCATGCTTCCTGTCCTCAGAAATGTGTTCTTACAGAATAGACTCCACTGTCATCTATAGAACTAGATATAGAACTACCTGTAGTCTATAGTGCTACCTGTCCCTCCGCATTCATCTTCAGACTAATATGGATTCGTGCACCGGTGGGGTCCCTTGGCCTGGCCTGCGCCCTCTCACAAGAATTAAGAATAAAGTGGCTATGAACATTCCTGTGCAAGTTTTTGTGTGGACACATGCTTTCGTTTCTCTTAGGTAACTACCTAAGAGTGGAACTGCTGAGTCATATGGTAACTTAAGTTTAATTTTATAAGAAACTAGCAAACCATTTTCCAAAGTGGCTGTACCATTTTGCATTCTTACCAGTGTTTTGTGAGAGTTCTAATCCTATATCCTTGCTAGTCTTTCTTTAAAAATGTAGCCATACATATCATTGAAATAATTTGTCTAAATCTTTTATCCAACTTTTTAAAAATTTGGTTGGTCGTCTTATAATTGAGTTGTAGGAGTTCCTTATGTATTCTGGGTACAAATCCTTTATCAGATAATGTGTTCCGCAAATATACTCTGCTAGTCTGAAGTTTCTTTTTATTTCTTTACAGTGTCTTTTGAAGAACAAAATTTTTAAATTTTGATAAAATCAATCAGTGCTTAATTTATGGTTCTTTCTTTTTTGCATTTTGTCTAAGAAATCTTGGTCTAATTTAAGGTTGTAAAAATGTTCTTCTGTTCTTATAGAAGTTTTATAGTTTTACCCCATACATTTAGGTCTGTGATCTACTTTGACTTAATTTTTATATATGGAGTGAGGTAAGGGTCCAGGTTTGGCATTTATTTTGTTTTATTTTACATCTTTTTAAGCTTCATTTGTTGAAAAGATCCTTTCACTGTTAAATTACCTTGGCACCTCAGTTGAAGATGGATTGGCCGTACATGTCTGGCCTATGTCTGGACTCGGTCTCTATCCTTACCACACTGTCTCAATACATTTGTAGCTTTTTGAAATTGAATAGTTTGAGCTCTTCAGCTCTGGTTCTTGTTCTCTTTCTCAAAATTGTTGTGACTATTCTAGGTCCTTTCCATTTTCCTATAAATTTTAGAGTCACTTTGTTCATTTCTTTGAAGAAAGCCCTTCAGTCCCTTGACTACTCATGTGATGAATGATAGTAGTATGTATATTAGTATCCGCCCTTCTTAGCTGTCGTGCAATACACCATTCTTGATCATTGTTGTGTTTCTTTGTTTTGCAGTGTTTAATTTGGCATATATATATATATATATATATATATATATATATATGCACTTATGAGTAAGATTTTCGGTTTTATTTTGCTTTCCTTTTTTTAGTCTATCTGGGTATTCAGTGTTGTGATAATTTTTTAAAGTGAATTATGAAATAATCACTGGGTTCTGTTTCCCTAAAACAATTATGTAGTAAGGCAATTACATATTCCTTAGGAATTTGCCAAATGACTTCATTACTTTTTGTGATTATGGTCCATTCAAGTTTTCTCTTGTTTTTTTCTTAAATGGATTTCTATTTTCCTAGGAAATTATCTATATTATTCAGTTTTTCAAGTCTATCATTATAAGGCTGGGTGTAGTGTTCCTTTTATACTATTGAAATTGCTTATATCTCAGGTTATTTAGAAGAGCTTTTTAAAAGTTCTAAATGATTAGGGTATCATTTTTATTATGTTATAGTCCAAGAAGGTAACCTATCCTATTGCTACAGTTTTGGAATTTATTGAAGCTTTTTTTTTCTCCTTTCTTTTTATTTGAGGCAATATTTAAGGTTCATTTTTATAACAAATTTATGGATACTTGGCAGGGCACATTGGCTTATTTATGATGGTGCTCAGATCCTTTCTGCCTTATTTATTTTCAAATTTTTCTTTGTAATTTATTTTCAGGGCAAATTTATTCGGATCAACTTTGATGTAACTGGCTATATTGTTGGGGCCAACATTGAAACATGTATCCTTTTTCAGAATAGTATAATCTAAAATAAAGAATCATTTCCTCTTCCTACGGCCTCAAAGAAACCCTTTGTGATATCACTCCCGTTATCAAGATGGTAAAACTTGAGTCCCAAGAGATTGTGACTTGGTCTTATAACACCAGGTCACACCCTGATCATGTGGCTGGGGAAGTGGAGAGTCGCACTGAGGTGAGGATCACCTATATGTCATCAGCCCAGGGAATGCTTGTGTGGTGTAAGGACCTTTAGGTGAATACTGTTAAATTGAACTACTCTTCAGTTATGGTTGTGTTAGCTTACTTATTTTTTACCACTTATTTCTGCCATTCGTAGGATGGGCATGTACCCATTGAAACAAGCCTCATAAAAGTACAGTTAAAGCCGTTTCAGTTAGTTTTAAGCAGAACAAAACTAGAGGAAAATGTCAATACATACACTAGTCCTAAGAAATGGTAGGTCTGTATGGAATTAATTTGGGTACAGATAATAAAATAGAAGTGTTTCTGAACTGGCAGTGTGCCATTAGGAAGGTTACAGATGACAGTTCTCTGATTCTTGTTAGAATAATCTCCAGTGATAGAAATACAGTTCTTCGTATAGTGCTGTATTCTTTGAATATAATCCAAGTTAAGAAGAAGGGGGGGGGGGGGGGGCGTGAGGAAAGCACTCCGAGGTTTTAAGTTCCCTACTAGCCCAGTGGATCTAGCAGATTAGTGGGAAACATAAATTGCATACATTTTCTTTTCTCACTTACAAAGTTTAACCATTTAGAGTGGTTAATAGCAGGATACCTGACCTATATCAGAGAGAAAAAATGTTTTATAATTAAATAGACATGGAAAAAAGACCAACTTAATCCTTAACCGTCTTTGCTCAGACCTTCTGGAAAAATCTCGTGCTGTTCGCCAAGCAAAAGATGAGCGTACTTTTCATATCTTTTACCAGCTGCTATCTGGAGCAGGAGAACACCTAAAGTGTAAGTTACAAAACTCTAGCTGGTCAGATGATGAAAGTGAAAAGGAATTTCCATGCCATGGGATAAATACTTTTAAGTGGTAGGTACATGGGTGGTGTTATATTATCTCTATTTCTTTTTTAAATTAGAAGGCAAATGGTGTGTTTTTATAAAGTTTTGTTTCAACATTTATAAATACACAAGTAAGAAAAAATAAACTTACTTAATAAAATTAATGGACAAACATTTTTATTTCTAGATTAACAACTAAATATATATGTTACATTTCCACTAGTCCTGGGAAAAGCCTATGGTGGGTTTTTCTTGAATCACAAGGACCTTTAGGTGAATACTGTTAAATTAGTCTATCTTTACCTGTTTGGGTAACTCACGGCCCCTAAAGTACAAGTAGGCAGTGGGGGTATTATCCATTATAATATTCTGTCATAATGTTTTATGTTGCACATCACTCTCAAAAGCACATTTACCACTAAATAGACTGCCTTGGAGAGAGGTTTTGGGGTGGCTGGGCTGAGCGCACATCTTCTACATCTGGGTGTTTATCTTAGGTCCACTTAGTCTTCATATTGACCCCATAGTGTTTGCTATAAACTCCTTGCTAAGAAAGGAATAGAAGATGGGTTTAAAAGCTTTCTAAAATATTTAAATCTGAAAACAATAAGGTTTTAGTTCTCTGGAAAAGTTACATCATTTTCCCACGATCCGATTTAAAATATTGTATAAACCACTGTTCCCAACGCCCGTTGAGATTTGTGCAGTTTACATTATCATTTTCCTTCCTGGTTGCAGACGATGGGAAACTGTATGTGTTTGTGTATTTAGCATGAACATATAAAGAAGGAGAAAGTGTGGGGGTGAGAAGTATGTGGGGTGATGGTTGGTGGGGAACCGCTGGTCTCCTGGGGCGTCGGTGCCGCCTGGATGTGGGCATGCTCAGTCTGCTGATGAGTGTTGCTTGATGGCATTCCGTTCTGTTTTCTTGTAGCTGACTTGCTGCTTGAAGGATTTAACAACTACAGATTTCTCTCCAACGGTTATATTCCCATTCCGGGACAGCAAGACAAAGATAACTTCCAGGAGACAATGGAAGCGATGCATATAATGGGCTTCTCCCATGAAGAGATTCTGTGTATGTGGGATTTCTCTAAGATTCTGATACTCATTTAAATAAGACACACATTGGGGGTCAATAGCCTAAACTAGAAAATGATCAAGGAACTGAGAACTGCCTGTAATTTTATGACATCCTGAGAGAGATCCTGAAAAGTTTTGTCCAGCTAATTTTTAGTCAAAATAAATTAGAATATATCTCTGCTATATGTCGATGCAATATTCTTATTAATTTTTTTTCTCTTTAATAAAGCTATGCTTAAAGTAGTGTCTTCAGTGCTTCAGTTTGGAAACATTTCTTTCAAAAAGGAGCGAAACACTGATCAAGCTTCCATGCCGGAAAATACAGGTAACTGACGATGCTGATTTTATTTCCGTTTAAGTGGTTGTTGGTTGTGCTCTCCAAGAGCATGTTAGCGCAGGCATAGACAGTACTCCCGACGCAGTGCCACAGACTCAGGAGCAGAATGCTTGAGGGCCACTCTGGTGTCATCTGAAGGAAGAGATGTGTGTAGGACACAAGGCAGCACTGGAGACCCCGCCGTGGCCTGGGGAGGCCCTGGGGATGGGGGCATGCGGAGACCTAAGCTGCAGAGACCACACAGCTCATCGGAAAGGGAGCTGCAGCTACTGAGACCTACCAGTGTTGACCTTACCAGGAACATAGGCCCAGTCTCTGTCTTTCGTGGCCTTGACTTTTGAAGAAGAATGCTGGCCGGTTGTTCTGGAAAATGTCCCTCCATTTGGGTTTGTCTGAGGTTTCCTCCTGATTAAATTCAGGTTATGCGTTTTTGGTAAGATTATCACAGAAGTGGTATGGCCTTCTCGTGCATCATATCGGCAGGCCTATGTGAGTTTGTCTCGTTGGTGAGGTTAACTTGGTTAAGGAAGTGTCTACTGGGTTTCTCCGCTACCGGATTACCTTCTGCCTTTGGAACAAGTATCTGGGAGAGGAGGGAGACACTGAGACTAAGGAAGTAAGTCCAGGCTCTCATCAGGCTCTTGGGCTACTAGTTGTAGCATCCGTTTATGATTCTTACCTGAAATGAGTCTTGCTTGTGGTGTATGTCAAGTGGTGACTTCTGTCTACATCGTTCTTTTATATTTACTCCCTGGAATTCTACTGTAAGGAAGAGCTTTCGCTTTTTCATTCCTATCAGTATAGACACATGGGCCCTTCTTTAAATAATTGTATAGTTTATGATCCATTCCATAATTATATATTCCTGTCCTGGATGTGGCCATGAGGAGTTGGAGCCACTTCAGGCTAGTGCTCAGGTCACTTTGACATGACTCTGTCACTTTTATTTTAAAGCATTTTCTTACTTTATGGCAACACAAAATGTTCCAGACTCCTTTTGTATTTGTCCAGCCCCGGCCCTGGAATTGGCCGTTTCGCTACCGTTTCTTCATATTGAAGAATGGGATTTAGCTGTCAATACCTGGTTGTTCTAGGGCAGTGTTGGCGAACCTATGACACGTGTGTCAGAGGTGACACATGCACATGCATGTACTCACTCCGATTTTTCTTTGTTAAATGGCATTTAAATATATAAAATAAATATCAAAAATATAAGTCTTTGTTTTACTATGGTTGCAAATATCAAAAAATTTCTATATGTGACACGGTACCAGAGTTAAGTTAGGGTTTTTCAAAATGCTGACACACGGAGCTCAAAAGGTTCACCATCACTGTTCTAGGGTCTCATTTGTTTCTGACTTCTCTCAGAGGACAGAGCAAGGGAACATGCACACACGTGTACTCCTATTTTCATTTCTTTGTATGTATATTAAAAACCATGGATTTATACTGATACCTCCAATTTTGATCTGACACTACAGGTTTTATGCTAGCCATTTCCTTTTCTTTATTTAAAACTCCTTTCTCTGACAGTAAGAAGTCTTATCTACAGTATATTTGTTTATTTGTTTGATCCTAGAATACCCATAAAAGAGCTTCAGAATTACTCACCTGTGCACCTCCAGAAAACAAACCTGCTAATTAGTAAACAGTATTTGTGTACAGTTCTTTAGCATTAGAGTATAGAGTCAAAATACTGTGGGTTTTTGTTTGTTTGTTTGTTTGTGTTGTTTTCTTTCTTTATTGATTAAGGTATTACATATGTGTCCTTATCCCCCCATTGCCCCCCACCCCCCACTCATGTCCTCACCCCCCTGGTGTCTGTTCCATTGGTTAGGCTTATATGTATGCTTGATCTCTCCCCCTTACCCCCGCCCTCCCCTACCTTTGCTCTGAGGTTTGACGATCTGATCGATGCTTCTCTATCTCTGGATCTGTTTTTGTTCATCAGTTTATGTGGTTCATTATATTCCACAAATGAGTGATATCATGTGATATATATCTTTCTCTGATTGGCTTATTTCACTTAGCATAATGCTCTCCAGTTCCACCCATGCTGTTGCAAATGGTAAGAATTCCTTCTTTTTTACTGCAGCATAGTATTCCATTGTGTAGATGTACCACCGTGGAGAACAGTATGGAGTTTCCTCAAAAAACTAAAAATGGAACTCCCATTTGACCCAGTAATCCCACTTCTAGGAATATATCCCAAGAAACCAGAAACACCAATCAGAAAGGTTATATGCACGCCTATGTTCATAGCAGCACAATTTACCATAGCAAAGATTTGGATACAGCCTAAGTGTCCATCAGCAGATGGTGGGTCAAAATACTGTTTTACTCTTCCCTCCTTCCGCCTTCGAGTGGCTACGCTTTCATTTGTAATGTAGGTAGCTTCATTTATTTCTGTTTGTATCGCATTTTGCCCCCCCCCCCAATAACCCTTTTTGCTTATATTTTAGTATATGCAACATATAAATAATTCTAAAAGTCAGAACTACAGAAAAATGTGTACTTCTCTGATTTTGTTCACACCCACCCCCATCTCTTTCACTCTGTTCCCTTCCCCCATTCTTTCTGCCCTGTTTCCACCTAGCCCTGTCGGAAATCAGTCTCACCCGTTTCTGTTTTAGTCTTCCTTGAGCAGCACTCAGCCCTGTAGTGAGTGTTTGCCACCCACGGTGCCGGCTCTCCATAAGATAGATGAGTTCTGATAGGTCTGTTTAAACGTTTAGCCACATTTCTTTACCGTAACATCATAAAACCAAAGTTGTACTTGCCATGGCTAGATGGCCAGTAAGTTTCCTATTCCCTAGCTTTAATTAATTACTGTGTTTTATTTAACTTCTGGAGCTTTTGTACTAAGCTTGGCTCTTTGAAGTAGTCTCAGGAAGGGGAATAAGAGACCGACAGAACACTTATCACACAGAAAGATGTATGCAATGGCAACAAGGGAGCTACCTTAAATATCCAATAGAATGAAGTAAGCCAAGGTATAGCCCCACTCTGAAGTATATCTTTTAGCTGCTGAAATGATATTTGTCATGTTACAAAGCAAAGGAATGTGGGTAATTTGCCTTTTGTACTTCTTTGTATTTTCTAATTTCCTATCCAATACCTACACTCATGATCCACTCATTAACTAAAGGGAGCCACGACCTAGCAGCTGAGGCAGAGCCATTGGTAAGAGCCAGTGAGAAGAGCCCCAAAGCACAGGAAGTGCTCTCGAGGCACGGCCCGCCCTGCAGACAGGGCTCCTGCAGGCGGCCAGCAGTTGGCCTGGGTTAGGGCAGTAGGATGCAGGTCTTGAAATGACCTGGGTAGATAATCCCTGTAACATAATTCAAAATGTGCTTACCCTTAGAGAATATTATTGTTAAACACTTAGTTCAAAATTAATTATAATAAGTCGTATACTTGTTGGACCTTGGGAGATATTAGACAATGAACTTCTAGTGAGGCAGGTGCCCTAATGCTGCTGAGAATCAACAATAACAAAAGTAGCAGTTATGTATTGAGTGTTTCATGTTAGCCATGTAATCAAATAACTTTTTTTTAAACTTATAGATTTCTTGCCCATTAAAATATTATTAGGATCATTATATGATCATGGCCAGTTATCTTGGTAACACTGTTTTTCTCATTCTGTGTGTTATGGCTTTTAAGACTCAGTAACTTGCATTATTAGCCATAATAAGTAATTGCTGGCTAGCTGTCTCGTATAAGTAACCTAAGGAGGAGTGCTATTAATTTGAAGGGATGAAGGGATTTTCCATCAGGACCTAAAACTTGTTATTTCTTAATACAATTTAATGATGACTCTGGTTTTTCGAGTGTTTATTGCATGTATTGTGACTGGATCATAAGGAGGAGGCCACTATTTAGGAGAATTTTTTACACTCTAGTTGCCCAGAAGCTGTGCCATCTTCTTGGGATGAATGTGATGGAGTTCACTCGGGCCATCCTTACCCCCCGCATCAAGGTCGGCCGAGACTACGTGCAGAAAGCCCAGACCAAAGAACAAGTACATTTTTCATTAATTATTCTACATTTGTTTGAATGATAAATTGTGGTCATAAGACCTTCTGAGTGGTGTGTGACAAACTGAATCAGATAAACTCGATAATATGGATGTTTCCTGGGACTAATTGAGTGGGGGTTTTCTTGTGTAGTTTTTTAAAAAGGAAATTTGAGTTTTCCCCAGTAGATAGATTATCCAGGAGGACAAAGTTATGTCCTTGTAGAGCCCACCCGCCAAGAATATAGGAGTTGGACTCCCCTGTTTCAGGGTGGACTCCTTTCAGACTCCGAGCAGATAGGCTCACAGAACCCCTGGGACGTAGGGAGGGGTTCTTCTTTACTGGCCACCTTCACCCTTCCCTTAAATTGATTATCTCTAGTTTACATTTAATTGTACTTACACCCTTTGTCGATGTGTAAACTTGAGACATGACTAAGCAGTACATGCTATTTCAGGATTTTTGTAGAACATTGAACTAGATATAATAGCCATGAATGCCTTGTTGAGATCATTCCCAGACTAAAGCATGGTGTTGTGTAATTACAGGCGGACTTTGCAGTGGAAGCATTGGCAAAAGCTACCTACGAGCGGCTCTTTCGTTGGCTCGTTCACCGGATCAATAAAGCTCTGGATAGGACCAAGCGTCAGGGAGCATCTTTCATTGGAATCCTGGACATTGCTGGATTTGAAATTTTTGAGGTGTGTCTCTCCCTCCTGCTCTTCCTTCAAATTATTCTTTCTTTCTTTATTTTTATTGATTTCAGAGAGGGAAAGGGAGAGGAAAAGAGGGATAGAAACATCAGTGATGACAGAGAATCATTAATTGGCTGCCTCCTGCATGCCCCCAACTGGGGATCGAGCCTGCAACCCGGGCATGTGCCCTGACTGGGAATCGAACCCTGACCTCCTGGTTCATAGGTCGATGCTCAACTGAGCCACGCCGGTCGGGCTCGTCTTATTCTTTTAACGATATTAATGAAGGCTCACAATGTACACTCACTGCTGTGCTAGGCACCGGGGACGTAGTGGTAGAGAAGCAGGGATAATCCCTGCCATTCTGTGGAGAGTCAGACCATAAAAGAGGAAGAGCCACTACATTCTCGGAATTGTGAGTGCTGCTGTGATAGAAGGGTGGGGACGCCGGTTTTAGACACCTGAGTCTTGAGAGGTGTCTGCAGTGCTGGCCTTACGACATGAAGGAGGAGAAGCCCAGCCTCCATAAGTTCTCCAGACAGCAGTCCTGTATGGGAGGGGATTTGTTAATGTTAGAAATTGCTGGAAAGCCAGAGTGACTAGATGTAGCTGCCCAACGGGAACTGGAGTGTGGTGTGGAGCAAAAGCAGAAGTAGGGAGACCGTGAGGCCACTGGCCTTTGTCGTGGCCCAGGGGCCAGGGGATGGTGGCCGGCTCAGGAGTCAGGAATAAGCAGTGTGAGATGGAGAAATGAGGAAAGGTAATGATCTCTGTTTTGAAGATAAACAGATTTGATGATGGATTTCAATATCTTTTATTCTTGATCTGACTAGATTTTTCCATTTATTCAACATCAATCCATCAAAGGTTTGTAGTTATACACCTGCAAAAAAAGTTGATAACATTTTGATCTCTTAAATATTTATATCTTTATCTCTCCTTTGATAGGCTGATTGTATATATGTAAGGAACAAATAATAAAGTACTTCTTGGGATCAGTATGCTACTTTGGCCACTTTAAAATTACATCTGTTTCCCTGCAGTCTGAACTGGTACCGTATACGCTGTTTTGACTGCTCAACTGCAACTACCACAATAAGAAATTGCTTTAATGTGCATTGATTTGTAAATAACTTGAGAAATCATGAAAGGTGGCCCGGTAAATGGGCAGAGTTCACAGAGAAGGAAACAGAAATGTCTGTAACTTAAAGTTACATTTTTAAAATCATTTGCCACCCTATATATAAACAGTCAGAAGGTGTAATAAAAGAAAAGAATTATAGTTCCAACTGCAACAAAAGCAGATGAAATATCTAAGAATAAATTTAAGAAGAAATGGGCAAGATTAAGTTGAAGACAATTTTATAAGACAATTTTATAAGGCTACTGTGAAAACATAGAAGACTTGAACAGTTGAAAAAGCATACCTTGTTCTTGGATAGGAAAATGTAGTACTGTAGAGGATAAGTCTTCACGAGGGTATTAAAGGTTGTAAAAGAAAGCTATACATGTAAGTACACGGACAGTAGAAAAGTGTGTAATGCTAAAAATGCAAGGGTGGTATTGATCGTTATTTATCATGGGAAAAGCTAAATGCCCACCATTAGGAGATTGGTTCAATTAGTCTAGAGATACCCATAGAGTGGAGTGCTTACGCACCCATTATAAAGAGTAGGGTGGCTTTATTTACTGCTATGGAAAGACTCCAAATACATTGTTGAGTTAAAAAATAAAACAAGATAACACATTTATAAGTGCACAGACTATTTCTGGAAGGATCACAAGAAATAAGTGATAGTAGTTGACTCTAGGGAATGAGACTGCAATTCTTTGTACGTTTTTAATTTTATACCATGAATTACCAATGTAAATATTGATTATTTTAACATATAGTTGATAGCTTAAATATGGAAGAGAAATAAAAAAAAACTATTTAAAAAAAATACCACCACACACACTAGTAAGGCTAAACAGAGAATAAGGTCTCATAATCCTAAGGCAGAGCAATGCCATTGACACAAACATGAATAAGCACCATCGAGCAGTCTGTAGATGTTCATGTGGTTCACTAGAAATGTGGTGTTTGAGCGAGCAAACACTGCCCCTGCCTTCCTAGCCTGACCTCATTCCAAAATGGTGAGTGTAACACCTCCGTTAGGGGTGGGGGACTAGAATGTCTCTCAGACTATAAATTTATTCCTCGGAGATTGATTGTACCTGCCCTACTTGAGGATCACTTTTTATAATGAAAGAGGTTATTTATGGGCACTTGCTACTGTGTGAATAGTGTGAAGGCAGGAAAAAAGGTTGAGTGCCTCTAATTTAGAAAGTGATTGCTTTAAGAATATTGTGCCTATTAATTCATCCATTTGGTCATTCATCCCATCAACAGCAAAATAGAAAAACAGGCAGAGATCGCAGAGAAGGAAACAAATGTCTGTAACTTATGCAAAGATGCTCAAGTTCACTTCCTGAGAGCAATGCAGTGTCACTCTTAGTATTGGCGAAGGTCAGACACTTGATAAGGGATTCCTAGGGAAGCAGCCTGGAGCCTCACACTGGGTTGAGTGCATTTTGCTTGTCAGGCCTGGCTAGGATCTCAACAACATCCCTGTGAAGTACACATTAGTTCTTTCTGAGCTCCCTCTGAGCTGGCAGCTGAGTGAAGAGTAGATGGGACCGCACCACGTCCATTCTCTAGACCCCTCAGAGCTTACGGAGTGGTGCTTGCTTTCCTTTGCCTTCTCACGTCTCTTTGTTTTTCTTCTTCTCTTTCTCATTTATTTCATAATTTATACTCATTAACCATTCACTAATAAGCTTTGTTTTATTTGTAGATTATGCAGTTAGCATACTGAGTTTATTATTTTCTCATTGTAGCAGTTCAGTAATGTATATATATGTAGTGTGTGTGTATGTGTGTGTGTGTGAGAGAGAGAGATGGAGAGAGACCCCCTCGGTTCAGATCATTAGCTATAAGCAATGATATAGTTGACACCTAATTGACCTTAATGAATTGTTTGATAACTGAATTACTATTTCTGCTTTTCTGTCCCCTCCCCATGTTTGGAAACCCGTTCTTTCAACCTTGGCAGCTGAACTCCTTCGAGCAGCTGTGCATCAACTACACGAACGAGAAGCTGCAGCAGCTGTTCAACCACACCATGTTCATCCTGGAGCAGGAGGAGTACCAGCGCGAGGGCATCGAGTGGAACTTCATCGACTTCGGGCTCGACCTGCAGCCGTGCATCGACCTGATAGAGAGGCCTGTGAGTGTTTCCCTGCTGTTGGCTGTCAGAGCTGCTGCGGGCGGTGCCTTGAGTTTTTCTTGGCTTAATCTGATCCATGTGAATTATCCTGTCTGCTCAGTGTTAATTTTCTAACCTAAATGTTCTAGGAAGGGGATACTGTGATAAAGTACCTATTGAAAAAGTAAGTAGCATGCCATTCAGACCCCTCTTTGGCACCTTCCCAGACTGCAGGTGCCACGATGGTGGTGGCAGTCACGTTTACCTCCAACCCTCTGCACCTCGGGAGGGTGGAGGGCTCCACCTGACTCGCCTCCTAGGCAATACAGGGCACTTCATTTGGGCAAAACTAAGACATGGCGTGTAAGTCTATTTTTCAGATAACTAAAGTTTATCCTGATAAGTACAAGGATGTTTTTATTCTGACAGATGTTTTTAATTAGAAGTTTTTATTTTTAAGGTTGACGCAGGTATATTTTTATAGCAATCTTAGACCATTTTCTTTTGGTTCGGTATCATGTAGAAATAATGGAACATGTATAATTCTCGAATGGAACTGTGTGATCCCAAATGAATGTTGATTGGGCTGTGTATTCCCTGGAAGCTACAGCAAGGTAGTGGCTTTGCTTATTTTACTTTGCTAACTACCAAACCCTAGGAAAACTAAAGCGCAATTAAGCACCGATACCAGTCATTTAGGTCAAGGTCTAAGCTGGTTCAGTAGGTGTGTTCCCACGAGGTGTGTTCTGTGAGGCGCTCTAGGCCGTGGAGCAGTTCTCCTTGTGCTACTCAGTCTGCACCCGTGTTCCCGTGTTTGAGGGGTTGGAGGACCAGTGCCTAAGCCTGGATGCTCAGTACCTGGTTCCAAACGAGGAACAGGAGCCTAGAGGACCGCACCCTGTTAGAGACGTACTTGTCGAGCATTAGAAGTTTGGGTTTAAGGGAAGGAACATCGTTTTCCTTGGCTCATACATGAGAGATCATTTTACCTTTCAAGGCACTGCAGCCGCTTGTTTGGGGCCCAATTCTCAAATTACTGCACTTGGGAGGACTCTGCTCTGTGTACCCTGCAGCATTGTTTAGGAGTAACATCGAAGGCATTACTCATAGTAACTTCCAGTCTCCACACAGACGTGTGACTCTATTTCCTTACAGTTTTGTTGCCCAAAAAATTGTTTGGGAATTTATATAAATAAGGGAATCGAACATTTAATATTGATATTATCAGCAATCATATGATTTGAGATGCTCGCTTATGTGTATCTGTAACACTGGAAGCTTTATGTGTTAAGAAAGTATTAACTATGTATCTGCACTTTCAGTTGTTTTGTTGACTATTATTAGATTAGGATAAGATCAAGGCCACAAAATTTTATTAACTCCTCTATTACAGCCTGGAAATAAGAAGATTGGGGTGCTGTGGGGTTGTGGGGAGTAGATGGCATGGCCCTGGTCCTAGGGGACCTGATCTTAAAGCCAGAGAACAGAACAGAACAGAACATGGTGGTAGTTCCCTGGGTAGTGGTTCCTGGTCAGTGACGCTCTGAATTTGGAGACCAGGAGGGCAGTGGGAGAGCGTTCCAAGGGCCACATTCCAGAAATTGGGAGGATAGTGGGATTTTAGGAAAATTGTCCAGTCAGGGTGTTCAGAAGCTATTGGCATGGGGAGGATATGCCAGCTTTGTCTAGATACTTAAGGACAGTGAGCAGAATGAATTCTTCCTTTTTTCCTCACTCCTTTCCTGCTCCCTCCCTCTACCCCTTCCTTCCTTCCTCCTTCCTCCTTCCTCTTTCCTCCTTACTTTTTGTACTGGCATCTCTAGGCTCTTCCCCAAAAGACTTTAGAATGTACCGTTTTATTTCTTGCCTGACTGGTCCCAACTTAAAGGAGAGGCGGCTCAGAAAGGGGAAGGAGGTAGTTTGGGATTGAATGCTGACTCACTCTTTAAGTCCATTGTTCTTTAGGATTACCTTTTTCCACTTATCCATAGAAACACAAAGATTTTATAACAGTAGGAAATTTAACTATGGCCTGTACAATATGGGATAATGATGCTATTGATGGTTCTTTCAAAATGAAGAGTGAGAACATTTTCCAGAAGGAAAATAAATACCTCGAAAGCTACGGGCCAGTCTTTGCCTCCTCTCTCACAAACCCAGCCCCACCCGGCGGGGGGTAGTTGGGTGGGGTGGAGGGCAGTGGGTGAGCCTCTAAGTTCAGAAAGCTGCTTACAAACCTTTGAGAGTGCCTCTGGCCTTAGGCAGGAAATGGTCTCTCATACTTACAGCTCCAATTAAAAGAAGTGCTAACAGTGAACTTGACGTTGAAGGATGACGCAGGAAAAATAACAAGGAGACACCATAACGGATATTCATAATTATGCTGTCACTGAGTCATTTAGAAAAGATTACATTATATTCGGGATCCTATTTCAGAAGTTAGAGATCCCGGTCTCTTTGATCACAGTCTTTTTTTAGCTGCTCGGAAAGTTCTTTCATGTAGTTCTTTCAGGGAGAGGACGCGGGCTTAGCAGCGTGGAGGGAGGGCTCAGTCTGGGATCACTGCAGAGGGGTCTCAGCTTCTGCTGCCACCTGCCCCTGTCCCTGTTATTACAGTATTTCACTCACATTTAACTGTAGCCTCTAGTTACTCTTTATTTTATTTTATTTTATTTTTTGCCCGACGGCTCACGCCCGGGGCGCACTGGGGACAGTCCGCCCACCCCCCACCCCCCACCCCGTGCCCCGTCGCTGGGGGCCGGAGGGGTGGGTGAGCGGTCGCGCCGTGGGAGGGGCGGCCTGGCCCCCCCACTAGTTACTCTTTAAGCAATATTTGTACACAGCCTTCTCTTCCCGAGTAAATAGAAAGGCCTTGTGAGTTGAAGAAAACTGATCCTAGAGATTTATTCAGGAAACTGATAGGCCCTGGAATTGAGGCATTCAGTCTTGGATCACAAGTTGCTGTATTTGCAGAGTGGCAATGAATGCTGATCCAGAAGCTATAAAATAGACCACCGAGAACCCCACCTTCCTCCAAGAAAGAAGTCAGGCCACTGAATTTTGAGCTCCCAGAGAATGGCAAGCTGTAGGCACAGACCCTAAAACTCACTCTTTTAAAGTATACAATTCTTTACACTCATTTATGGATAATAAAGAACATTACAAACTATTGAACAAAAATAGACAGAGGCAAAGAAGCATCGAACAGACTGTCAAACTACAGTGGGAAGGTAGGGGAGGGTTGGGGGGGATAAGAGATCAACCGAAGGACTTGTAGACACGCATATAAGCACAACCAACAGACACAAGACACTGGGGGCAAGGGGATGAGGGCAAGTGCGGGGCGGAGGGGCGGAGGGGAGGCCGTGGGGAGGTCATTGGGGGGGAAAAAAGAGAGACATATATACTACTATTTGTAATACCTTAAACAATTAAATAAATAAATAATAATAAAATATACAGTTTAGTGAGTTTCAGTATATTCACAAAGTTGTGTAGCCATTACCATTGTCTGATTCCACATGTTCATAATCCCTGAAAGAAACTCCCTCCCGTTAGCAGGTGCTCCCTGCTCCCCTCCCCCAGTCCCTGGCCACACTAACCTACTTTATGTTTCTATGTCTCTTTTCAGGGAATTGGTTGTGTGAAATAAAATAGGCTCTCAAATGTTTGTTGAAACAAATATATAAAGTAACTGATAAATTATTTCATCACCTTCCATCTCTACTCTACTTAATAATAGTTTAAAATATTTCACCAAGTGTGAAGCAGTACATTTTATTTCATTGTTACTTAACCAGAAAAATGGATTAGGATATAAAATGTCTGAAGCATCCCACCTAGTGGGGGTTTTGAATAACTTATCCATCCAGTCACTGACTATGAACATTCGGTTTCATCTCTCCACCTCCTCGCTCCTTTGTGGTGTCTTATTTGCTGCGTTTGGGGGACTATCTGCTTGGAATTCGTTTACCTACAGTTTACACGTGTGTGTTTATGAGAAAGTGACTCACCCGCTGTCTCCCCTGTACTTACTTAGCACTCGGAGACCCGGGTGCTTGGGGCCTAGGGTTGGTCTGGACATGGCCTCCTATCCCAGCAGTTGGTGTCCGTGGTCTGGATCAGACCCGATGGTATGACATGCAAACTCGCCATTCTCGTTGCCTCTCGTTATCAGGCCAACCCTCCCGGTGTGCTTGCCCTTTTGGATGAGGAGTGCTGGTTCCCGAAAGCCACAGATAAAACCTTTGTTGAAAAACTAGTTCAAGAGCAAGGTTCCCACTCCAAGTTCCAGAAACCCCGGCAGCTGAAAGACAAAGCTGACTTTTGCATCATACACTATGCAGGGAAGGTAAGAGCTGGAGAACTGGATTACCTGGTAAAAGTACTGTTTGCAACTTTGCTACATGTGATGGAGTTTATAAGAAAGGTGCCGATAAACATTTGTAAATCCCTAAATATAGTGTGCATTGCAATTGAGGGCCTTTAAGACAACCCACTCCTTAGGTTGCTCTGTGAACGTCTGTGGGTAAGGCTAACTGTTTCTGGGTTTTGTTTGTTTTTCCGTCTCGCCTCGTTCGGCTCCGGGCGGGCCAGGTGGACTACAAGGCGGACGAGTGGCTGATGAAGAACATGGACCCCCTGAACGACAACGTGGCCACGCTGCTGCACCAGTCCTCGGACAGATTTGTGGCCGAGCTCTGGAAGGATGGTGAGCACGCCTTACGCTCGTCACTCAGGTTGGCCAGAGTCGTTTACGATGAAGGATTGCCTGTGGTTCTCTTACATATCTATGTGCACATATATTTTACTGTAAACCTCTTTCCCTAGAGCAGGGCTGCCATTATCTCGGGATTTACCCACTTTGAGAATACTTGGGTCACAAGACATCTGCCCTCTTGGTCAGATGCTGTGGGGAGTGTGGGAACCTTCTAGGCTCAGAGCCAGAAAGAGCTGCATATCCTCGGGCCACCCTGGCCTAGTTAGACTATAATCCAAGGGCTAGGGGACATGAAACCTGAGAAGCCCTGTGCATTTTCTCTGTGCCACACGCAGGTCATGCATCCTAGCCACTGCCAGCCTCTCTCTCTCTCTCTCTCTCTCTCTCTCTCTCTCTCACACACACACACACACACACACACACACACACACAGGGGCTGGTGAGCACACTCAGATCCCCTGTGTGTAGACCAGTTTCTGTTCCCATCAGTCCTGAGTGCTTTTCTTTACATGAACCTCAGGGAAGGTCTTGGCGATGTTGTGTCATAGACTAGAAAGTTGCTAGTACAGCACACCTCTGTGTACCTATGCAGTGGGCACCGTATCTTCTAGAGCTTAGCTCTCCCTCCTGCATCTCATCCTGACTGTGTCCCACCTCTGTGCTTGGCCTCAGGTCATGCAGGACCTTAGCCCTGGACCTGCCCCTGGCTAGGCCTTGACCCTGAGGCCATCCTGTTCAGGAACCTGGCTCACCTCTGCTTTCCCTGTAGCAAATCAAGAGCTTGTGATGCTGTCTTCTCAGAGGCAGAGAGAAAGAAACAGAAAGAAGGATGTAGGCAGTTTGGGCAAAAGGAAAGAGGTGGGAAGAGCAGAGTGAATGCAGAGAAAGTGAGCAGGGGAAGATAACCGTACCAAAGGTGATCTAGTCAGGAATGATCACGTACATCCGCCCGAGATGCGAGGAGCCCGAGGGCTGGCGCGCTGCACACATGCATGCACGAGTCCTGGGGCAGCAGTGCCTGGGACAGACTAAAAGGCGGGACTCGGAAAACAGATTAGGTTCCCAACGCGTAACACGGAAGCTTTTGATCTTGATGCCTTTGGATGAAAGTCTTTAACCGATGTTGCATGTTCCCTGGTGCTTGCTGTGACCGGTCAGCCAAGGGTGCTGCGTGAGGGCTGAGAGCAGAGACTAACGTGGTATTCGCAGTGCCATCGCTGAGGGACTCCCAAGCCTGCTGCTGTGAAATGTTAGATGGAAGATGAGGAACTAGAACCGGGACTGTGAGCTCCAGTTGTGCTAAACAGCGCGTCCACGGTGCTAGGAAACCCAGCACTGGAGCTGGAACTGCACGTGGGAAAGGCCGCAGAGAGAGGAGAGGAGCAGAGCTGCCCGCCTGGACACTCGTGTTCTGTTAGGAGTCAGTCCCGCTGTGACTGTACTGGGCATGCCGTGGGCCGGCGTCCCGTGGCCCCTCCTCCCGGCCCTCCTTCCATCTCAGTGCACAGGAACGGGGTGGGATGAGTAGGCGGAGGTCTGAGGACCAGACGTATCTGGTGATGCTGTGTGAAGGGGATGCCATGAAGGAGGAGACAGTTTTCCTTGTCCTTGAAGGAGAATGATTTGTTGAATAAATAAAGAAAACTGACGTTTACCAAATAGTGCTAAGTGCCGGGCAGTTCTCAGAACTAATATGTGAGCCTCCGTGTCATGATCAGGCCTTAAACATTGAGCATGAGCAGGATTGCATTGAGCTAGCTCACCAGGGGAGCGGAGCGTTTCGGAAGTGAAGTTGGCATGGGAGAAGGGGGCCGAGCAGGTAGAGTGAGTGATCAGAGGATGGAAGTGAGGGAATCGCAGCTCAGGACGTGTGGTGCCTTTGGGCGTTAGAGTGGGGCTGGGGCCAAGGGTGCGGGCAGGGAACGAGGCCGGGTCACAGGTTGAGAGCAGACCATGTAGAGGCCTGATTGCCGGTCTCAGTGGACTTGACTCCACTGAATAAGTAGCTCCCGTAGGTTGTGAGCCAGGGCAGGTGAGACGTGTGGCCTGAAGTAAACGCAGTGTTTGGCTGGTGGGATTAGTGGGGAAGAACCTCAAAGTGGGCATGGAATGAACAGGAAGAAAGGAACAGAGGAAACTGGCGTTTTTACTTTCCTGAAGCCTCAAAATCCGATTTTCTCTTCATTTTGAAGGAAAAAAGAAGCAGGTATTTGGGAAATTAATGACAATAGTAAAGAAAGTGGGTCCTGAGTTACATACTGGTTCTGAGATTGTGAACCACTTTGACTCTTATTTTGTAGTTTCTTAACCGAAAATGATATTGTGGGGAACACCTAGTGAGCACCTGACCATTCATATAACAAACGCACGTGTGTAACCGTGTGCACCATGGTTATCACCTGGGAGAGTCTTGGGGGAATGAGGAAAGACGCGGCCCGGCCCCAGGAGCTGGTAATCCAGTGGGAAACGCAGGATATGCAGATGCAGCCTGGGACAGAGCCAGTCTTGTCTCGCCTCCCAGATGTGGGAGAGCCTCTGGCAGCAGTGGGTCAGAAATTGCAAGAAAATAAGGTTTGGCCGGCAAGGGTGGAGGTGGGGGCTCAGTGATCCATGTCACAGGTGATGTGCCTTGTGGGCAGGGCCGTGTCTAGAGCGTGCTCCCTGCCTTTTTTTTTTTTAATCCTTATCCATGGATATTTTTTCCATTGTTTTTTATTTTTATTTTTTTAGAGAGAGTAGAAGGGGGAGAGAGAAGCATAAACTCGAGAGAGACACAGTGATTGGTTGCCTCCCAGGGCTGGGGATTGAACCTGCAACCAAAGTACATGCCCCTGACCAGGGGATGGAACCCGCAGCCCGTAGTTCACAGGCTGGTGCTCTAACCACTGAGCAACAGCGGCCAGAGCTCCCCTGGCTTTTTGTGCTTTCCATAGCCACGAAGAACTTACTCGGTTCCAGAAACGCTGAGAGAAAACACTTGCAGCCTTGCTGAGCTCCTTCAGTCCTGGCCCGAGGCCTGTGCGTCTGGATTTAGTCCACAGCTCGGACCCACAGCCCGCACAGCCCCGCTGTGACCCTTGCCTTTCTGCAGATAGGCGCTTGGGCGCACACATGGTCCCTTTTGTCAGAATGGGCTGCTGGCAGTCTCACCAGCCCCGGATCTGACTTGGATGTGCTGGCATCCGCTCTGGAATATTCCCCGAGTCTGCTCTCCTCATGAGCTGCTGCTGTAGGAAGGCCTGTCGTTCATCAGCGTAGTGGACAGTTATTCAGTGTGATCTGAGAGCCAGGATCTCAGAGGTCGCCCACTGTCAAGGGAGCGGTAGGGGGAGCAGCAGGACTGAGTTTCATCCAGAAAGTCAGGGCAGGCCCAGGAGTTGGAAGAGGGTGTGCGAAGGTGGAGAATTCGTCGCTGCTCACTCTGGGTGTAGAGATCTCTTGGGATAAGGGTAGCTTTTTCTCCAGGAAAAGAAAAGAGCCCTGGAAAAACATGTATTTTTCTATTTTTTCTATTGTTACAGCCACATAAAGGCAAAAGCAGAAAATAATAAGTGGACCAAAAATGTATGAATATGTGTTGTATGAATAGTTTCCTATGAAGGTGCAATATCTTGACTAGAAAACACTATGTATTAAAATAGACTTTGTGTTAGGGTGTTAAAGATTTTTCTCAAGGCCAAACCCGGAGAAATAAGACTTTTGGTGGCAGCCCTGCCCTAGAGACTCATAGTGCCCTACTTTCTGCTAAGAGATGTTTGGGGATCTCTCTCCCAGCTGCACGGGACTTCTCAACACATTTCGGGGGCTTATAGACCAAAAAAAACAAAGATTGCATTTCTTATGTAAATGTGCCTCGGGGTATCAAGTGTCATCTTACTTATGATTTGAAGTTATTTTTAACATTTTGCTAAGCAGAACTTGAATTTTGTTTTTCTTAATGGTAATTACCTATGTATTAGTAATGTGTATTTGGAGTAAATTATATTTCCAGAATCTGTATTGGAAGTAAAGTTGCACAGCAGTGTAAATTTTTGACAGTAAAAGTTACTAATGCGTACACTTATCAGAATGTAACTTACTGCCCCTTGTCCTAATGAGCTAATTGCAAGATGATTTTATGAAGGACAACTCGAGTAGTACCTTATTACTCTTAACATTTCATCCTGCATTTACGCGGGGTGGTCATTTAACACTGTGTGATAAAATGCTCACACCTGGAGTGGGGAATAGGCATTTTCATTCAGATTAAGTCTATTTTATAAAGAACTTTGTCCAAATGTGCAGATTCCCTAATGAGTAATGTTTGCATGGGATCTTCCCAGGACTAGCGACTCTCGTACCCGATTTCAAAGTTTACTTGTGATGTCGAATGTCTTTCACACTAACTGAAGTGTTTGTGTATTTGCTCTTCTGTCCTGTTTTTGCTGTTTCTCTGCTTTAGAGATTCAGAATATTCAGAGAGCTTCTTTCTATGACAGTGTTTCTGGTCTTCATGAGCCACCAGGTGAATGTATAAAGCCTGTAGGTCTTCCAAAACGGAAGGGTCCTAAGCCCACAGGAAGAACTTGCGGGGGGCTGGCAGGGCGGCCGGGCGGGCAGGGTAGAGGGATGCGGCTGGTTTCTGTTTTTGTTTCGCTCATAGACCTGCATGAACCTTTCATTTCATGCTCAGTATTATTCTACTTCAAGGCAACTGTTTGAGTGCATAAACAATTCAATTGCTACTGCCTACACATCGCTTCTTATTTTATGCATAGCACCTGCAGCACTGCATAGAAAAGGTATGTCACTACCTTTTCCAGTAGTGCCGTTTTGATACACAGCCCTCCAAGGGAATGGTTAGGAATTGATCTGCTAGTAATGTCTTCTTTGTCTCTGAGTTACCGTTAAGTTTTCAACTCTAAGAAATTCCAAAGAGGAGTTTTTTCTGTAAGTCATTAACATTTATGAACAAATAAGTGCATATTTATCTCACAGGTGTTGGTCTCATC